TTTATGTATAGTAGCGTGTATCTGTTAATCCCATACTCCTAATTTATCCCTCCCTCCACTCCTTTCCCCCTTTGGTACCATAAGTTTGTTTTCTGTGTCTGCGAGTCTGTTTCTGTTTTGTATAGTGATTCATTTATATTATTTCTTAGATTCCACATATAAGTCATATCATATGATATTTGTCTTTTTTTTCATAAATTTATTTATTTTGTTTATTTTTGGCTGTGTTAGGTCTTCATTGCTGTGTGTGGGCTTTCTCTAGTTGCAGCAAGTGGGGTCTACTCTTTGTTGTGGTGTGTGGGCTTCTCATTGCGGTGGCTTCTCATTGTGGAGCATGGGCTCTAAGTGCTTGGGCTTCAGTAGTTGCAGCATGGGGGCTCAGTAGTTGTGGCTCACAGGCTCTAGAGCACAGGCTCAGTAGTTATGGCACATGGGCTTAGTTGCTCTGTGGCATGTGGGATCTTCCTGGACCAGGGATCGAACCCATGTCCCCTGCATTGGCAGGAGGATTCTCAACTGCTCTGCCACCAGGGAAGCCCCTGATATTTGTCTTTGTCTGACTTACTTAGTATGATAATCTCTAGGTCCATCTATGTTGCTGCAAATGACAATATTTCACTCTTTTTTATGGCTGAGTAATATTCCATTGTATATATATGCCATATCTTCTTAAACCAGTTGTCTGTTGATTGGCACTTGGGTTGTTTCCATGTCTTAACTATTGTAAATAGTGCTGCTATGAACATTGGGGCGCATGTATCATTTTGAATTAGAGTTTTCATCTTTTCCAGGTATATGTTCAGGAGTGGGATTGCTGGATTGTAATGCAGCTCTATTTTTAGATATTTAAGGAACCTCCATACTGTTTTCCATAGTGGCTGCACCAATTTACATTCCCACAAACAGTGTAGGAGAGTTCCCTTTTCTCCACACACTCTCCAACATTTATTATTTTTAGGCTTTTTGGTGATAACCATTCTGTCCAGTGCGAGGTGCTACCTCACTGTGGTTTTGATTTGCATTTCTCTAATAATTAGCAATGGTGAGCATCTTTTCATATGCCTGTTGGCCATCTGTATGTCTTTTTTGGAGAAATGTCTATTTAGGTCTTCTGCCCTTTTTTCGATTGTTTGTTTGTTTTTCTGATATTGAGTTGTATGACCTGTTTGTAAATTTTGGAAATTAAGCCCTGTTGGTCACATCATTTGTAAATACACTCTCCTTTCAATAGGTTGTCTTTTCATTTTGGTGATGATTTCCTTTGCTGTGCAAAAGCTTTTAAGTTGGAATAGGTCCCATTTATTTATTTTTGCTTTTATTTCTTTTTGCCTCAGGAGTTGGAGCTAAGAAAATATTGCCACAATGTATGTCTGAGAATGTTTTGCCTATGTTCCTTTCTAGGAGTTTTATGGTGTCATGATTTATAGTTAGGTCTTTAAACCATTTTGAGTTTATTTTTGTATATGGTGTGAGGAAGTGTTCTGATTTCACTGATTTACATGAGGCTGTCCAGCTTTCCCAGCACCACTTGTTGAAGAGACTGTCTTTTCTCCACTGTCTATTCTTGCCTCCTTTACTGTAGATTAATTAACCCTAGAGGTATGGGTTTATTTCTGGGCTGTCTGTTCTGTTCCATTGATCCATATATCTGTTTTTGCGCCAGTATCACACTCTTTTGATTACTATAGCTTTGTAGTATTATCTGAAGTCTAGGAGGGTTATGCCTCCAGCTTTGTTCTTTTTCCTCAAAATTACTTTGGCAATTCTGGGTCTTTTGTGGTCCCATATAACTTTTAGGATTGTTTGTTCTAGTTCCATGAAAAATGTCATGGGTATTTTGATAGGAATCACATTAAATCTGTAGATTGCTTTGGGTAGCATGGCTGTTTAAACAATATTAATTCTTCCAATCCAAGAGAGTGGAATATCTTTACATTTCTTTGAACCATCATCAATTTCCTTTATCAGTGTTTTATGATTTTCAGCATATATGTCTTTCACCTCCTTGGTCAGGTTTATTCCTAGGTATTTTATTTTTTGATGTGACTCCTACTAGGGCTACAGACAGTCAGTGACTTGGATCTTGGTCTCCAAAAATATAACTGGGATAGATATAAGAAGTAGTAAAATGATGGTTACTAATTTAATCAAATATGTTAAAGAAATGGACACACAACACGACATACACATTTCAATCACACAGTCTAAAGAATTTTTATGAATAAATACACTATGTAACAATACCTTGGTCAAGATATAGAACAATAGCATAAATACTCCAATTCCCTCATATCCCTTTGGAGTTAATCACTCACCCATGCCAGCTTTGGACAAACATTGACCTAATTTCTATAAATATTGATTAATTTTGCATATTTTAGAATTTAATATAAATAAGTTAATATAGCATAATCTCTTTGGTAAATGGCTTCTTCCTCTCAGCACAGTCATTTAAAAATTTATCCATGTTGCCTGTACTAATAGTTCATTCCTTTTCTTATTAGTCACTGTTACAATGTATGAATAAACCAAAATTTGTTTATTCAATCAATTACTGATGGAAAATTGTTTTCTCTCAAGATTTTGGCCATTATGAATAAAGCTGTTATATACAGTCCTTACCAGTCTCTGTTGTCATATGCTTTCATTATTTGTGTAAATTCTAAGGCTGTAATCTGTTGATCATATGATAATTTTATCATTAGCTTCATAAGAAACTGTTGGGCTTTTTCCAAATTGGTTGTCATATTTTGTACTCCCAAGAGCAATTTAGAAGAGTTCCAGGGGATTCCCTGGGTGGCGCAGTGGTTAAGAATCCACCTGCCAATGCAGGGGACACGGGCTCGAGCCCTGGTCTGAGAAGATCCCACATGCTGCAGAGCAACTAAGCCTGTACACCACAACTCCGGAGCCTGTGCTCTAGAACCCGCGAGCCACAATTACTGAGCCTGCGTGCCTCAACTACTGAAGCCCACGTGCCTAGAGCCCGTGCTCCGCCACAAGAGAAGCCACTGCAATGAGAAGCCTGCACACCGCAAGGAAGAGTAGCCCCTGCTCACCTCAACTAGAGAAAGCCCACACGCAGCAACGAAGACCCAACACAGCCAAAAATAAATAAAATAAATAAATTAGGGGCTTCCCTGGTGGCGCAGTGGTTGAGAGTCCGCCTGCTCATGCAGGGGACATGGGTTCGTGCCCCGGTCTGAGAAGAACTCACATGCCGCGGAGCGGCTGGGCCCGTGAGCCATGGCCGCTGAGCTTGCGCGTCTGGAGCCTGTGCTCTGCAACAGGAGAGGCCACAACAATCAGAGGCCTGCGTACCGCAAAAACAAACAAAAAAAGAAAACAAAACAAAACAAAAAAATAATTAATTAAAAAAAAAAAAAAAAAAAAGAGTTCCAGGTACTTCAAATCCTTGTCAACACTTGGTATTATCAGTCATTAATTTAGCCACTGTAGTGGATGTGAAGTTGTATCCTGCAGAGGTTTTACATATATTTTTCCAATAAATATTGTAATGGACTATTAGACATTCATGTACCATGTTTTATAAAATATTCAAATACTTTGCCCATTTGTATTGTTTCTCTTTTTATTATTGAGTGGTAAGAGGTTTTTAAATTTTCTTTAATGTATTCTGGATACAGGTTGTTTGTCAGATAATGTATATTTTGCATATAACACTTCTTTCCGAAGCTTATTGTTTTATTTTTGGAATTACAGCTTTTGAAGTGTGGGAGTCTTACATTTTAATGAGGCACAGTTTGTCAGTTTGTCTTTTATAGATTTTTGCTTTTTGTGAGTATCTGTTGCCTGGGCCACTGATAAATTTTATTTCACTTAGGCACTCACCACACTAAGCTAGGAAATATATGTTATCAATGTATACACAAATATTTTAAAACATTTTTTGTAACTGTGTGTGTGTATGTGTGCATCTATGTGTGTGTGTGTGTGTGGCCTTGTAGCCACAGAAAACCTCCTTGTGCCCATTTGGTTCCCCCAGCCTGTGACAGGTATGCCATCTGTCCCATAGTTGCTCTATTTTCTGAATCATCCTTTGATTCCAGGGTTGATAGTTGAACTCCAGGGAGGATGAGATCACAGGCAATTGGTCTATGGATTTTGCAGCCACCCATTATGCTTATTAACCATAACTATACCCACTCAGGTTCTTAATTCTTTTTCCAGGAGCTCTATCTTTTTTTTTTTGCGGTACGCGGGCCTCTCACTGTTGTGGCCTCTCCCGTTGCGGAGCACAGGCTCTGGACACGCAGGCTCATCGGCCATGGCTCACGGGCCCAGCCGCTCCGCGGCATGTGGGATCTTCCCGGACCGGGGCACGAACCCGTGTCCCCTGCATCGGCAGGCGGACTCTCAACCACTGCGCCACCAGGGAAGCCCCAGGAGCTCTATCTTATTCTGAGAGCTTTAAATGGGAGGACCTCCTTCTTGGAAACTTGAAATTGGGAGTCTGGATAAATTAGGTGGGGATTGTAGAGGTGTAATTACCGGGCAGTGCCTTTATTCCTGACACCGCATGTAAGTCCGCCCAGATTTCTGAGTCTGGGCTAGGAACACCATCTCCCTTGCAGGGCTTCCTCTCCCAGAATGGACACAGATGCTTTGGGAAGCTTTGTGCCCAAGGGTAGGGACCATAAATCTGAGTAGATGTATGTAAAAACTACATAAACCTGATACTCTAGTTGATAAAATTATTTTCACAGGTGTATATGTTGAAAATTCTGAAACTACTTTATATGTATACTAGAGTCGAACAAATAAGTAAATAAATTATATAAAATGGGAATCAGGTTTCTTATTGTCAGAGAAAAAAGATACAAATAATCAAGGGTTGAGGGCTAGAATTAACCATGTATTACTCTATAGTTGGAGATAGTATGAACTCATGTTTATTATAATATATATTGAGGGAGATATAGAAGTAGTTATGTCTATGTATATATACATGAATTAGTATGCATACATTTATCTTCTAGCTCTGTTTACTGAGAGGGCCTGGAAGCAGTGACCCCAGTGACAATGAACAACCCAGCGCCCAGGTATGGGTTTCTAAATTCCATTGTTCAGTTATAGAAAAAAAAAATAACCACGGGCATGGTCAATAGAGTGTAGAAAAGGAAAAATCATGGCTTTACAGTGGAGAACCCTGGCAGACACCACCTTAACCAAGTAGTCATTGTTATTATCATGAGTGATGTAGTGTCAATGCTATGTACTTGTGATATGGTGCAATGAAAAAAATATTTCCTCTTTGTGGCCCTCTTCCCCAAAATTGATAGCCCCAGTCTAATCATGAAAACATATCAGCCAAACCCAAATTGAGGAACAGCCTGTGAAACACCTGACCAGAAAAATTGCAAGGTCATCAAAAACAAAGTTAAACTAAAAAGCTATCACAGACCAGAGAAGACCGAGGAGGCAGGATGACTAATTTCTGCAGTGTCCAGGATTGGGTTCTGGCACAGGTGAAAGGAAAAGGTGTAGAAGTCTGAACAGAGTGTCATTCAGTTCATAATATTGTATTCATGTTAATTACTTAGTTTTGCCAAATGTATCATCATTACATAAGATGTTATCATTAGGGCAAACTAGGTAAATATGAATTCTCTGTAATCATTTTGGTACTGTTTTTTTGTAAATCCAAAATTATTCCAAAATTGAATAAAATGAATAGAGAAGACACTGTTTTCAGAAGGACTGTGGAAAATTTTCAAGGCGAAAAATTGTGTTCAAAGGAAAACTTCAATTAATTCCTTAAAACATTCATTGTTGAGACCTCATTTTTACCATAATGCTGTAAGTCTGCTATCATTCCAATCTATGTCTGCATCTTATATTTTTATAGTGTTCATGGTGCTTTATTTTACTTTCGGAAAGATGTTTTATTTTTAAAGTAGTCAAATTTATTAATATTTTTCTTCATATTGTGTGCCTTTTGAGTTTGAAGTCCTAAAAATATTCCTCTTTTTGTTCTTGTAAAAGTCTGAGTCTCATATTTTATTCTCAGGACTTTGCTCTGACAAAGAATGATTTTTATATTTGCAAAGGAGTCTTGATTCAGTGGGAATAAGGATTATTTTTCCTCCCTGGCCCAGTAATTCTTACTTCTGCGTATCATGTGGGAAAGGGTCAGGGCATGTCAGGTAGAGACTGACTCCAGTCTCTCTGGATTTATCCCTTTGTGTGAACCCAGGGCTCTTGCTTTTGGTAGGTTGGGGAAATGTCAGGAACTCTGGAATGAGAGGGATTAGGGTCAGGCATGCTGTTGCTGGATCAATAAGAGATAAGAGATGATTGAAGAATTGAGAAGATGAAAGGAATTTGTTACCAGGGTGGGTTGGCAAGCTTGGGATTTATTTTTATAAATTTTATTGATGCATACACTACTTGCAGAAAGTAAACAGAACTTAAGTGTTCACCTCAATGAATGTATACAAAACTAACTCAATTCTGTTAAGAATAGCCAAGTCAAAAAACAACATTAAAACCCTATAATGTAAAAGGTAGCATCTCAGGAATTGTTTCTGGAGTAGTGGTTTCGGGTTGATAATTATGGGTCTGGATTCTGGTCCATTCACAGTGACCATAGCGCATGAGGGCACACATGGAGTACAAGGACTGGTTTCCTTCCCATATATGGTAGTCACAGGCTCTCTGCTGCCACACACACTCTTTGACATCAGGTTGAGGGCAAGGGCGCCAGCAGAGGAGGCATGGCTGAACCTAGAGGTGGAGAGAGACCCAGGGCTTGTTGCCACCCCCTACCCACTCCTGTTCACAACCCCACCCTAAAAAGACAAGGGTCTGAATACAGGTAGAGGCTAAAGGGAAGAGTGAGGGGGGCGGGGAACAGGAGGGAAACTGGGGCAGGAGGCGGCCAGGGAATAGGAAGAAGGTGAGAGAGCAGGGGTCATCCATAGAGGGAGATAGAACGGAGAGAGCTCTGGGCACAAGGACGTGGGACAACCACCAGTGCCTGGGCTGCAGAGAAAAAAGGCTTAGGAGGCCACTCACGTGACATTTGCATCCTTTTTTGTACAGTGCCTTGAAACCTAATCTCTGCTCCCTGGTGAGCCGGTACCAGAAGTATACCGGGTGGCATTTTGTGAAGTACAGCGCCTCCCTCCTCAGATACCCTGCGGTGATCAGAGAGCACGACCTGAGAGTCAACACAGCCTGTGTGGGTGACCCCAGGGAAGGACACGCTCTGACCCCTAGGTAGTTGGCCCCAGAGGGTCTGGAAACCCTGAGGCTGGTATGGAGTCAGCCATGAATGATGGTCCAGCATTCTTCCCTGGGAAGTATCTGTGAGATCATGGAGAAGGGGCCCTTGGTCCTCGGCGGTGCTACAGTTGCAGAAGTAGAGTGGGTAGCAAGGCGAAGGGGCTGTATGTGGACAGGGTGCTCACCTGCAATAAGTAATTGTGATTGTTGAGAAGTCCTCACCTCATAACCACAGCTATCCCAATCCTTGGATGTGTAAACATAATTGATTTTGGGGGCCTTCCTGGGAAACTTGAGTATCTGTGATGGGAGGGATAGAAAGAGTAGGACCTCAGTTTTTCATAGAAGTTGCTGGTCTCTAGAAAACATCCAGTTCCCTTGGCAAGAGCAGATTGGACAACTTGTGATTTTGAGGGAAGAGGGTAAGAAGGAAGTGTTGGGTAAAAAATTAAAATGCTGTACTAAATGGTTTTAGGTCTGAGAGGGGAAAAATCCCTTTCATAGCTGTTGACTACAGAGCAAAATTAAATCCCTGTTACCATTCAGTAAAGCTGGTTATGAACAGCTAAGCTCAATTTTGAGTTCAGAAACTCAAAATTTGACCATCTTGCTATGTCGCCTAAAGAGTAAATGGTCTAAGTAAAGGCGAAAGTACTAATTAGAACATAAAAAGATGGAGAGTTTTACGATGTTTAAGTTGAGTGACAAAGAAAGTTTGGTAGAATGACTAAAACAAAACTATGGCAGCAGGGCAGGGAGAAGAGCAAGGAAGTTTTGAATTAATTTTTAATATTTATTTTCACATTTGCTTCATTGACGATAAGAATAGTATCCATACCTCATTCCTTGATTCAAGTATTATTTATTGAGTGCCTAGTATAAGCCAGGACCTGAGGAAATGGGACGAAGACAGTCTTTGCCCTTAAGGATTCCAAGTTAATAGGAGAGTATGTTGGTGGTGGTAGGTGGCTAAGAAGTGTGTCATAATAGTATGACAAGTGCATTAGGACACATAAGAGACACCTTATATGGTCTTGAGGGTGGGATAGAGCATGAGAGGGATTTATTCTAAGCTTGAAACTTAGAGAAATGTGCAAAAAGTGACAATAGAACAGGAATCTTAATAGTTAATTACTATGTTTTGATGGAATCAGCTCTACAATGGGAGATAGAATTGACCTGGCTGGTGACAAGGAACCAGTCTCACTGTTGTCGTTTTATGTATCTATAAGATTAAAAAGAGCAAGTGAAGGTAACTTAAGATCTTGTTTCTCTCTCTCTCTCTCTCTCTCTCTCTCTCTCTCTATATATATATATATATATAAAAAGCATGAAAGACATGAAAAGGAAATCAAAGACAGGTGAAAAGATTTTGAGTCAAAAGATAATAGGGACATGACTTTAACAAGCAAGAGCAAGCTTAAATAACTATTAAGAATAATTAATACTAATATTTATTCTTATAATTAATATTCTTGAGATACACACTGCTATACTTAAAATGGATAACCAACAAGGACCTACTGTATAGCACAGGCAGCTCTGCTCAGTATTATGTAACAATCTAATCAGGAAAAGAATTTGAAAAAGAAAGTTAACATGCACAATTTTGAAATAAAGCAAGAGATGACAGCATGTCCTTTCAAAGTCATACTAGGTCATTGGTGAAAGGTCTCATCCAAGGATTATTTAATTATCTAAGCGAATGCGTCCGTATTTAACTTTTTTCCTTATTATTTGACGGGAGCATTGAAACACTGATTTTAGACGTTAAATTTTACATTTCTGTCCAGTCAGAAATCTAAACTCCAAAGATTTCAGTTTATGGCCCTGAAGGGCATTAACCAGTTTTGCATCTATTAACAAATTTGTTTCAGCATCCCATTGAATGACTATTTAAATTTCTGTTCCTTGAACTCTACTTTGAACCAGGTGTACCATCTAAGTGATTTCTTAAGTTATTAAATATATATTGAATTGTTGACATGTGCTTATCATATGTTTACATGAGTCAAATTTTTACCTTTTTGAAATTATCCTTCAGTAAAAGTCATTACTTTTCTAGGGAAGTCCAGCAGGAAATATTGATGTTTTGAGACATTATTTGATAATGGACAGCACACGACCACTCGGTTAGAGTAATTCGAAAGCCTCATTTGCTATTGGCCTGCAAACTGGGTCAAAAGTCTGAAGTTCCCAATGGGCTCCATCCCAGAGATAAGGCCTTAGAGATAAAATGGTCCTCCAGCCCATCCAGATCCAGTCTTATTGTTGAGTGAAGAATCCATTATTTTGTTCTAGCACTATTTTTATATGTGTACAAAAACAAATTTGAAAGGATAATCACCATATCTCAGAGCAGGAAGGTATAAAATTATAAGGGATTTTCACTTCCCACTATACAATTGTATCATTTAAACATTTGAAAGTGAGCATATATTAGCTTTAATAAAACAATAAAAATATCCCGCATTGAAAAATGTCAATTTCGTATTATTTATGTAACCCTTTGCAATCATCATGGATAATTTGAGATGGACTCTCCTACTTAAATGTTTTTCTCCATTGGATGAATATTTAAAGTTCAATAATAATAATGCTGTTACTGGCAGTGCGCTCCTCCCCCCAACTGAACCTATTCCCTGAACCAATACTGTCTATCATGTATAAGAGATATTTGATATATGTTATCTCATTTAATCCTCAGTACTTTTTTTGGAGTGGATGTAACAATCACATTTTAGGGATAAGGTAAACGGAGGCCTTAAAAGGTTAAATTATTTCATCAAGCCAAGTTGGGATTTCATGGTCCCCAATTCCATGCCTCTTCTGCTATTCCACACCACCTCTGTTCTACTGTATAGTGTTCATATTAAAATGCAAAAACATGAGCAAATTTCCAGAATGCAAGGCCCCAGTCATTTCATTATTCCTTTGAGATAAATCTAATCTGGTCACAAAAAACTCGGAAGGTGTAAATTGCATAATGATGATGGGTGAGGGCCACTGTTTTCACAAATGTCTCCATCCCAGATTCGTTTCCCTGTAGAAGTAGTAAAGCCAGTCGGCAGCATCACTCTTCAAAGAATTAGAAAACAAGAAGGAGCACAAAATCATTTCCAAGTCACCTGCTGCCAGAAAATAAGATTTGAATGGATTTTCTAATGTTTCAAAGTACTTCCTTGCAGATAGATAAGAAATTCATAAAACCAGCCATGAGAGTTATATTGCCTGTAAGTGTAAACAGTCATGATAGAAGAA